GGGAGCGCCCGGAAAGCGCGCGGGGGGCGCGCGGGGAGGACGCGCGGACGCGCGGGGCGCTCCCCGCTCGCCGGGGACTCGCGAGGCGCGCGGGGTTGCGCGCGGGGGCTGCGCGCGGCGCGGGCGCGCGCGGCGCGCGGGGCGCGCGGGACGCGCGTAGCGCGCGCGGCGCGCGTGGCGCGCGAGGCGCGCGGGGCGTGCGGGGCCTCCTGGGAAGCCGTCTTAGGCTTCCTGAGAGGCCTCTTGGTGTCCTGGGAGGCTCCTTGGGCCTCCTGAGAGGCCTCTTGGGCTTCTCGAGAGGTTTCTTGCGCCTCCGGAGAGACCTCTTGGGCCTCCTGGGAGGCCTGGAGGCCTCTGGTGCTTCCTGGGGGGCCTATTGGGCCCCCTGTGAGGCCTATTGGGCCTCCCGGGAGGCCTCTTTGGCTTCCTGAGGCCTCTTTGGGCATTTTGGGAAACCCCTTGGGCCTCCTGAGAGGCCTCTTGGGCCCCCTGAGAGGCCTTTGGGGCCTCCTCAGAGGCCTCTTAGGCCTCCTGAGAGGCCTCTTGGGGCTCCTGGGGGGCCTGCTGGGAGGCCTCTTGGGCCTCCTGGGAGGCCTTTTGGGTCTTGTGGAAGGCCTCTTGGGCCTCCTGAGAAACCTATTCGGCCTCCTGAGACGCCTCTTGGGCCTCCTGAGAAGCCTCTTGGGCTTCCTGAAAAGTTTCTTGGGCCTCCTGGGAACTCTCTTGGGCCTCCTGGGAGGCCTGCTTGGCCTCCTGAAAGGCTTCTTGGGCCTCCTGAGAGGCCTCTTGGACCTGCAAAGAAGCCTCTTGGGCCTCCTGAGGGGCCTCTGGGGCCTCCTGAAAGGCCCTTGGGCCTCCTGAGAGGCCTCTTGGGCCTCCTGTGAGGTCTATTGAGCCTCCCGACAGGTCCCTTGGGCATCCTGAAAGGCCTCTTTGGCCTCCTGAGAGGCCTCTTGGGCCTCCTGAGAGGCCTCTGGGGCCTCCTGGGAGACCTCTTAGGCCTCCTGACAGGCCTCTAGGGCCTCCTGGGAAGCCTCCTGGGAGGCCGGACGACGAGGGCGTGATGATTGTGATTGAGGCTGTCGAACGGGACGAGGGCGTGATGATGATGTTGATGATGCGGATGCTGCTGCGGATGATGATGCCCATGATGACGATGATGCCTACAATGGTGACGACGTTGACGATGGCGACGGCAATGAAGGTGATGATGCTGAGTAGTAGTGGTAGTAGTAGTAGTAGTAGTAGTAGTAGTAGTAGTAGTAGTAGTAGTAGTAGTAGTAGTAGTAGTAGTCGTATTAGTCATACAGCATGGTACATACATCATACACCATCATACATCATACAACATGCGACACACATCATCTATCATCATGCGTCATACAACGTGGTACATACACCATACAACACCACTCATCATACACCATGGTACATACATTATACACCACCACGCACCATACAACATGATACATGCACCATACATCATCATGCACCATACAACATTATACATACACCGTACCATCATGCATCATACAACAGTATACATACTCCATACATCACCATGCATCATACAACATTGTACACACACCATTCATGATCAACCGCCATTCACCACCAAACATCATACACCATCAAACATCATACGTCATCTATCATCATACATCATCAAACACCATACATCATACAACATCACACATCATCAAACATCATACATCATAATCATAATACACCATCAAACACCATACATCATAATACATCATCATACACTACCGTACGCCATACATCATACATCAAATTACACCTTCAAACACAATATTTCATAATGCATCATCAGAATCCTTACCTCATGCATCATCATACATTATCGTACACCACCATGCATCATCATACATCATCATACACCATCAAACAATATCATACACCACCAGGCATCATCATACGTCATCATACACCATCATGCATCATCGTACATCATCATACACCATCATACATCATCGTACAACATCATACATCATCGTACACCATCATCCATCATCATACATTATCATACATCATCATACATCATCATGTATCATCGTACGTCATCGTGCAGCATCAAACATCACCGTACACCACCATACATCATCATACATCATCATACATCATTTTACATCATCTTACATCATACATAGCACCCACACCAACACCCACACCCAAACACTCACCCACAACCTCTCTTTTTGTTGTTAAAGCCGTTGGAAACGCGAAACCTCCATCACCACCCTTAAGTCGTCTCACGGACGAACTGCCCGGCCACCATCCCCCGGTCAGCCCTAGTAGTAGTAGTAGTAGTAGTAGTAGTAGTAGTAGTAGTAGTAGTAGTAGTAGTAGTAGTAGTAGTAGTAGTAGTAGTAGTAGTAGTAGTAGTAGTAGTAGTAGTAGTAGTAGTAGTAGTAGTAGTAGTAGTAGTAGTAGTAGTAGTAGTAGTAGTAGTAGTAGTAGTAGTAGTAGTAGTAGTAGTAGTAGTAGTAGTAGTAGTAGTAGTAGTAGTAGTAGTAGTAGTAGTAGTAGTAGTAGTAGTAGTAGTAGTAGTAGTAGTAGTAGTAGTAGTAGTAGTAGTAGTAGTAGTAGTAGTAGTCGTAGTAGTAGTAGTGTAGTAGTAGTAGTAGTAGTAGTAGTAGTAGTAGTAGTAGTAGTAGTAGTAGTAGTAGTAGTCGTAGTAGTAGTAGTAGTAGTAGTAGTAGTAGTAGTAGTAGTAGTGGTGGTGGTGGTGGTAGTAGTAGTAGTAGTAGTAGTAGAAGTAGTAGTAGTAGTAGTAGTAGTAGTAGTAGTAGTAAAGGTAAAGGTAAAGGTAAAGGTAAAGGTAAAGGTAAAGGTAAAGGTAAAGGTAAAGGTAAAGGTAGTAGTAGTAGTAGTAGTAGTAGTAGTAGCAGCAGTGGTAGTAGTAGTAGTAATAGCCGCATCAATAGTAGTAAGAATATTAGTGGTAGTAGTAGTTGACGTCGCAGTAGTAGTTGAAGTAGTAGTCGTAGTAGTTGCTGTAATAGTAGGGCTCGTAGTTAATCCACCCGCTGATGGAGGGAGGTTGGAAGTGGGGGCGTTGAGTATGAACAAGCCCTGGGTGTTTTAAGATAAAGCTCTGGTGCTTCGAAAAAAACACCGTCGAGGATGAGGGTGGCGAGACTAATAAAAACGCGCATGTTGATTAGACGGAGCATTCAAGGGAAGATCCGAAACAGACATATGGGCATCATTAGACATGCCACAGCTTGAATGATCATGTGGATTGTGGCGTTATATCACAGTTTAGGCCCTCGGGGTCGGCGTTGCAGCGTAAGCACGCGCATCGCGCGGGCCCAGCGCCATCGCGAGTGCGGATGACGGGGTGCGCTGGCATAAAACAACAAGCAAACGTACTAGACAGTTGGCCTTGCGCCCCAGTACGGGGCGAAGCGGCGCAACCCAAATTAGTCTTCACTGTCCACGTACGGGTCGGCCCGTGCAACGGCACGGACATGTCGGCGTCAACCGCGCAGAGCATGGACGCCCGCGTCCACGAGGTTTGAGCCAACATGGCGGTGGGGGAAGGAGGCGACGACGACGGCGGCAGCCGCGGCAGCGGCAACAACAAGCGACGACGACAGTGACGACGACGGCGAAGACGACGGCAACGGCAACGGCGGCCTCGGCGGCGGCGGTGGCGGCGACGATAGAAGCGACGACATCGACAACGGCAGCGACGACGACGACGACGGCGTCGACGGCGACGGCTACGGCGACGACGACGACGACGACGGCGAGGACAACGACGGCGACGGCGGCCACAGCGGCGTCAACGATGACGACGGCGACTGCGATTGCGGCAACGCCCAAGAGGCCTCCAAGATGGCCCCATGACGGCCCAAGAGGCCCCCAAGACGGCCCCAAGAGGGCCCCAAGACGGCCCAAGAGGCTTCCGAGACGCCCAAGATGGCCTTCCAAGACGGCCCTGAAGTGCCCCAAGAGGGCCCCAAGAGGGCCCCAAGACGACCCAGAGAGGCCCCCAAGACGGCTTCCGACGGAGTCAGACGGGCCAGGAACGCCCTAAGACGCCCAAAGATGCCCCCAAGAAACCCCCAAAGGCCCCCAAGAGGCCCAAGGAGGCCCCCAGGAGGCCTCCAAGAGGTCCCCAGGAAGCTCCCAGGAGGCCCCAAGAGTGCCCCAAGAGGCTTCCAAGAGGCTTCCTCCTCCTGCTCCTCCTCCTCCTCCTTTTTCCTGATCCCCCCCTCCTCTTCCTCCCCCATGTGTTCCCCGAAGGCTTTTCACAACGTCTCGGGGAACACATCGTCTGATAGTTTGGGCAAGCTCTGGCCCAACTTTCGGCCACATAGGCGCTTCCAAAAGGGCAGGGGGCGGCGGTGATTCGCCGCGGGCGTCTTCGATAACTTCCACGATCGTCGAACGCTCTGACTCCTTCTTGGGGTCGGTGGAATGGCGTAAGCCACTTGAATAATAGTTCGCAGCGGCTGGTGCCGAGGCGGCTCCGATATGTGTTGTGCGACCCAGTACACCGAGATGGGCACGCATATGCACGTGCATGGTGACAAGAAGATGTCGCACCGTGATGGCACCGATATGGCTCCGAGATGGCACCGATATGGGGCCCAAGAGGCCCCGATAATATGTTGCAACGGTTGGTGCCGAGATGGGCCCGAGAAGCTTGGAACGGTCAGTGTCGAAATTGCCGGCGGGTGGTTGTTTCGACGATTGGCGCTAGTACGACTAACGCCCTTCGAAAGCGCGCCGTATCTTGGAGCCATTTCGGTGCCGTCTTGGTGCCGTCTAGGTCTCCGTCGACGACGGAGGGTTCCTTGTAAGTTTGCGAGGAGCCAAGATTGGCTCGAGGGGCTCGCCCTCTCCCCTCCCGCCCTCGGCCCTCTCCCCTCCCACCACCAGCCTGCAAGGAGGGAGGATGTGGATGCGTGTGAGGAATGCATTTGCAGCGGCTTATACGCAAAGTTGCGGCATGACCGCGAACATCACTAAGTTGCGGCTCGCTCCCGCTTGAGAAGCTCTGCCTCGGCCGCGGCGCCCAGCTCAGCCTCGGGGTTGGGCAGCAAGTCATTGGCCCTAGCATCCATGAACACGTGCTGGTCGCGATGGGACTTTGGAATCCCGCGTCCGACCAGCAGCCACTGCTTCATTCTCCGCCTGCACGTGTCGTACGACAGGGCAGGCCGATTGTCCGTGCCCTTGCCCATGTGGACGTGCTTCACACACGTGAACTTGGGCTTGGCAGGGTCGAGATGGTCAAGGCAGCGCCCCTCCCATCCGACGCAGATGCCGCCTTGCCAGATCTCTGCGATCTGCCACGGCCCGAACGGTTCCGCACGCGGCTTTTTCTGGCCATGTGCGCCATGGGCGCCGCCAACCTTCGCCTTTTTCGGCGGGGGCGGCAGGGGCGGGGCATCGCCGCTGCCATCGGGGCCGCCAACGCCAACGCCAAGGCCGCCAGGCGGCGCAGGCGGGAGCGGCGCTGGGCTCGGCGCGCCGCCGCCGCCGCCGCAACCGCCTATGGCGGCCCCAGCCGCGGCGCCGCCAGCACCTGCAAGTCCTCCGACGGGGCCTCCAGCAGGATCTGCGGCTAGTGGCCCAGCCGCGCCTGCCGCCGCGGCTTTGGCGATCACCAGCTTCGCCCCGATCCCAGCGGCCAGCTTGCCCTTGGCGATCTTCTTCGTGACCCTGGCGTCCGCGGCGGCCTTCTTGGCCTCGCGCCTCCCTTTCCTCTTCTCGGCCATTCGCTTCAAGTTCTGCTGCTTCAACGCCGTGCGGAACGTCTGGATCTCGTTGCAATTCTGGGCGTCGTGGGCCAGGATCTCATCGAGCATGTTCATGAAATCATCCCCGAGCTCCTCCGCGCCGAAGTCGCCCTGCTTGTGGAGGGCGGCTGCGCACTTCGCGATGAGGTCTGGGAATCCTGCGAATGTCAATTCAATCAGCTTCTCGCGAGCAGCCCCCGCCGAAGCCGTTGCAGCGTCGTCGAGGTGCAAGCCCATCACGTCCGCGATATTCTTCATGTGGTCCAGGGCCAGGGGCGCGCCTGCGAGCAACGACGCCGCCAGCGGCGTCATGGGCTCCTCCGACACCAAGAGCACCCTGCCAACGCCAGCGAGAAACGTCACCTTGGAGATGTTCGCCACCTTGTAGTTCGTAGGGTTGGTCACGTAATAGTCGTGGAACGCGCCCGCGTCGGACCGCATTCTGAAATAACTCACGTCGCCTTTCTGGCCACGGTCGAGGTCGCGCACGAATAGACTCCAGAGTTGTTGACTGACGACCACCATAGACGAACCAGAGGCTTCATGCAACAGTATAGATACTTAGCTCTGGGACCATCCTGCCATGCCACGAGCTCAAAAGATTTGGACGATCGCTTCCCATTTTCGCCCATGCCTGAATCCATGACCATGCTGAGCACGCCTTTGCATACGATTGTCCATTCGGTGAGCTGTACTCGTGGCCTCTGTCAAGTATTCGTCGGAGTGCATGTGGCACTATATCCTGGTCACCTCGGAACTCCTTGGCGACGGAGACCTGCTGGTCGCGATGGCAAATGTTCCTGGACACATCCTCGTCGCTCAACTGAAACGTTTTCATGCCGCGTGAGCCCGCGATGTTGCCCTCCTGCTGTGCCCGGTACAGGCGAGTCGGGCCGATGGTAGGTTCCCTTTTGGCGCGGCCCTCGTCTCGAATATGTTGGTGAACGTCCTCTGGCCCTTTGGAATCTGGCCAGTGCTCCAAGGCGGCACTCGCAGTTCGAATGAACCCATCGGTGATGTCGTCGAGGCCAGGAGCACCCAATTCCCGCTCGTTCTGGCAAAATGCAAGTCGATTGATCGGCCATTTCAACCAGAATATGTCGCCCACGAGCTGCTGCGCGTCTGGTCTGGACAATGTCGCCTTCTCCACCTCCAAGATGAGCCTCCAGTCGAAGTTGATGATACCTCGCCTCACTTTCAGCCTCTCCTGGGAGCTCATAGTCCGACCAAGTGCCATCCGAAACTTCCCTGGATAGCAGAAGAGCTCTGGCGCGATGGAATCGTACCTCTCCTTCAACACCCTCATCATGAATTCGAATGCCTCGGCGCCGCGCTGGCCATTCGGGTCGCCAGTCGCGAGCAAGCCCACGTCCCTGATCTTCGCCACGTCGTTCATACACGTGATGACCGTCTGCCTGAACTCGAGCTTCCAGGCACCAGTCTGCAGCTTGTAGTCGTAATCCATCCCTTGGGCGATGGTCTTGACCTGGCTCGACCTGTGGCCGTACTCCTGCCGCTGCGAGCTAGTCGCCACCGAAAAGATGGATAGCGCGCTGTGCAAGTCATCAGTGATGAAGCTGTAGGCCCTCTTCACCGTGCCCGCCTGCTTCGAAATCTCCTGCTGGACGTCTCCGTCCGTGGCCCCCCGACTGGTGCCCGCGTGGACCATGGTGGAGAGCCCGCCCCCCTTGCCGTGCTCGTCGGACATCAACTTCAGGACGGCCCGAAGGCCCCGCAGCTCCTTCCTGTGCCACTCCCAGCAGTCGTTGATGCTCACGAAGCGCATCAACTTTAAATGAGGCCCGACCTCGTGGCAACTGCGGAGCTTGCCCATCCTGCCGAAGATCTCGGCAAGGCCTGATGCAGACGAAGAGTCCACGCCAAGTGCGTCGCCGAACTTCTGCGCCACCGCCAAGAACTCTGGCGATGACTCGTTGTAGAGCTGGCACCACCGACGGCAGGACTCCTTTAGGCAGGCAAGCGCCCCACGCGCCCCACTGAGGAGGGCGAGGAGGGGGGGGAGGACGGGCGCCGAACAACTCACCTGGGGCTTCCAGGTTGGATGGGGGGGGGGAAAGGCAAGCGGATTTAAGATTTGACGTCCGAAAGGTTTGGTTTCCATTGTCGGTTTCGCGCCAGAAGGCCCACCCCCAACGCCCCACCCCTGACCCTGGATGACTGTTCGCACCCGACGCCCCTTGCTCCCCCAGCCCCTGCGCGAACTCGGGTGAGTCGTTCGGCCCCTTCCGTTCCCGCCCCTCCCCCCTCGCCGCTCCCGTGGGGTGATGGCCGCTTGCCCTCCTACGCTGGTGTCTCTCCTTCTTGAGGCCGAACCACTGTCCTGATCGATACGGCCCTGAATTCATGTTGCAGATCGTCACGAACTCAACACCCTCTTCCACACGTGTCCCTTTGGCCTCCCTGACCAAGGCCCAACGCGCTTAGCGCTGTTCTTCAAAGCATTCCACAATGCGTGCAGCGGGTCGAACCAAGGAACGAACAAGTACTTCTCAGCAATAAGGAAGTGCAACAATGATGAATTGATTGAGCTGCGGTCCGTCGTATGCGAGACAATCGGGAACTTGAACGTCCATAGATGAGGCGGTATCTCCACTGAAGCCTCGCGCTGATCCCGGTTGAAGAGTAGCTGCGCTCCGTCCCATGGCATTCGTTTCTCACCATTCTGCACTGGCCGTAAGTTCAGGCAAGGTGCGAGGCAGAAGTCGGCAAGCGGTCGCCCAGTCAATTGGACGAGCTCCGTGAGGACAACGCACATGTTCAAGAACGCAGCCTCCCTGTCCAGCTTGTCCGAGGCCCACACCTCGGCAAGCTCAGGGTCCTCAGCGATGAACTGCAAGTCGACTTTCTTGCGTATCGCCTTGAAGATAAGATCTGCCAACGTCGTGATGCGAGGCGGGCCCTAGGCCCTGCAGGCCCTCCCCCAGGCCGCCCGCGGCCCGATGGAAAAGCAAGGGCGCCCCCCCCTGGAAGGGCGGGGTTGCTCGACCTCCCCCGCGCGCGGGAGCCGAGGTGAGGCCCGCCGAGGGCCGACCCGAGGCGACCCGCCCCCTGCGGGGAAAGCTGAGGGGAGATCAAGGTCAGGCCGCCCAAAGGCCACCTCGCATCATTCAGAAACGTGATGCAAACACCTGGGGAGATTTCTACATCAGGTTTTTCAGAGTTTTGCATCAGGGTTTTAAGAGAAATCCCCATGTTTTTTTCCAGAATTTCCAGGCCCCCGAGGGAGCCTAACCCGCGTCCCCCCCTGCGTCGTTAAGAGGATTCCCCACTGGAGGGCAACGGCCCTCCTGTGGCTTCGTCGGAGGGGGCGCCCCACTGAGGCCACCAATTGATTGCTGCAGATCGCGCCTTCGGGCACATGTCACCAGCGATGGGCTCCCCAGGGACTGCGGTCTGAGCGACCAAGCCAATGTTGTAGCTCCGCCGCGAATACCCACCTGGGTCCCACGTCATTGCCAACGACGGCGCGCCCTTAAAGGCACCCTTCATCAAGTCTCTGTGCATCGTCGTCATCGCGTAGCTGATCTTGCTGTCAGGGTCCTTCGCCCTTCGCTCCTATCACCGCTGTGACAGTCTGGTTGCTCTCCGGATGGCGGCGGCGATCGCTTGGGGGTCGAGGCGTCGACGGCGCTCCGCGCACCTCAGCTCCTCCAGTCGGTCCTGCATGGACGGGCTCTGCGCTGGGATGTGGCGGAAGAGGATGTAGGATTCCATGCCGACGGCGAGCGCTCTGCAGCAAAATGCCGACACAGCCTCAGCACCAGGGCGAAAGCGTTGGCGGACGTGGGCGGCCGCGTCCGCCGTCCGCCCTGGCCAGGGTCGCCCATCGACCAGTCGATGGCGCCCCGAGGGCTGACATCGCGGCTAGACGCGATGCCTCCAGCACGCCAGTGTTTGAGCCAAAATGGCTGCGGTCGGAGGAAATGGAATGGGTGGGGAAGGAAGGTGGAAGAGGGTGGGGGATGGAAGAGGGTGGAGGATGGATGAGGGTGGAGGCTGGAAGAGGGGGGAGGATGGAAGAGGGCCCCAGAGTCCAAGAGCGCCCTGGCTCGAACGCCGCCGACCCTCAAGGCCACGTGCTATGCCCCGACGGGGGCTCCGAGGCGGCCCAAGACAGACCCGCAAAAGGGGCCAAGCATATGTGGCAACTATTGGTAGTACCAAGACGGGACCGAACTCATTTTGCAACGATTGGAACCGACATGCGTAACAAGATGCGCATATATGGAGCGATGCAATTGTTGCACCGAGGTGGCGTCGGCATTGTACCGATATGGCACCAATATGGCACCCAACCGAACGTTGCAACGATCGTCGCCGAGATGACCCCCCCCAAAAAAAAACACATCTAGCACCGATGGGTACAGAGATAGGCCCCACTAAAGTGCCCCCCACTGATGGTACTTGTGCGATGGGGACCTCGATGGCACAAAGAAGGCGCCGATATGGCACTGAGAGACACTGCAACCTCGAAGGGCGTTGAAGTTGCATATCGGCACCTACCCCAGTGAGCACTCAATGGATCAGGGCTGGCCCGATGGGGCGGTTTATTGCAGGAGTCTGCGAATCTACATGCTCTTCTCTGGGACGGTGCAGTCGCGATTGCCCTAGCACTCGCGAGCTCGGCCGCTGCCCGCTTGCTTGTCCCTGCCCGACAGTACCTGGCGCGCGCATTCATTCTCGAATGCGAGGCCCCGAGCGCCAAGTGCGGGCGAGCAGGCGGCAGCCGAATTTCAAAATAAAGAGACGCCAGGCTGGTCAACGCACCTCAACATGTTTCGTCGTGGGTGTTATGATATGCTATTATGGCTGCTGTACGATTTGATCAACCATCCTACGTTGAACAAAAACTGTGCAATGTGACTGACCATACGTTCGCCGCAGCACCTCGGCCGACGGCATTGCCCCTTCGGGGCACAGCTCAAGAGCCAGCACCGCCCGCACTCGCGGGATCCGTCTTGCACTTCTTCTCGGGGGGCTGCTCGGGAAGAGATTCGGGCGCGCTGGGCGCGGGCTCAGCTGGCTTCCGATCCGCTGACTGCTGGACGAGGTTCTGTAGAAGCTCGGGGGACAGCTCCAACTTGCCCTCAGGCGTGAGCTCGAGCCCCTTGCCCTTGAACGGGATGAAGTTGGAAGGGGACGCTGGCTGCGACGACGCCAGTGGGGCGGCCTGGCTGCGGCGGGGCCGTGTCCGGACTCGTGCGCGGCCGCGGCCGCGGCCGAACTTGGTTCTTCCATATCGTCGAAGAGCTCCTTCGAATTCCGCCTGGTTTGTGAAAGCGGGCTCCTTAACCATCTTCGGCGCCACCTGTGCCTTTGCTGGTTTCACCACCTCCTTCATGCTTGGGGCGGCGACCCGCGCCACCTGGGGGGCCTGCTGCTGGGCGCTGCCGCCCTCGACAAGGCCGCCCCTGCGAGAGACGGGCATGCGCTCGACGGGGTAGCCGAAGCGCCTCGCGATGACGTTCGTGTTGTCGAGGTCGGCGCTCAGGTCGTTGAGGCGCATCGGGTACACGCTGATGGTCCTGGCGATCTCTGCTGCGATCGCCTCCCTCATCTCCCCCTTGTTCTTCGCCGTGAAGTCCTTGATGCGCGTCTCGGGGCCCAGGCTGCTAGCGATGAAGACCAGCTCGTCCACTGCGTCGTCGTCGAGGCCGCTGAGGAGTATCGGCGAGAAGCGCTTGCAGTCGTAGGACTGCAACGCCTGCACTTTCATCTTCCGAGGGAGGACTGTCCGCGCATTGAACTTTCACGCTGCCCCGAGGTAGCGGTAGGACGTGGAGACCCGCTGGGACTCGTCGCCGAACACGAGCTTGCAAGGAGATGTCTCATCGGGGTTGCCCAGGGCGGACTGCGAGGCAGCCGCATCCTGCGCCGTTGGGCCCGGCGTCGGCTGCGCCGTCGCGTGCGCAGACTGGCTCTGCGCAGCCTGCTGCGTTGACAGCAGCAGTGCCAACTGCCCGATGTCCGTCGCGGGTGGCGGCGGCTGGACTGGCTGGGGCGGCGCGGCCTGCGCAGGCTGGCCCATCTGATACATGGCAATGCGAAGCAGTAGACTTGTGAGATCGGCCTGGCTGGCCATGTCTCTGGCTGGCCAGCACGCGCGAAGAGAAGACGAATGTCTGAAGCCCGATGCTTGGGCCAAGATGGCTACGGAAAGGGACACTGGCGTTTGAGGCGTGCATTGTGCACGGATTGGCTCGAGGGGCGCACATTCGCTTTTTGGCGCCCCTCGTGCATGTTTGCGCACTTACGTTTCCGAGTGGATCGGAACGCATGATGCGCGCCAAACACGCGAGGGGCGCCAAAGGGCGATTGTGCGCCCCTCGGGCCACAGGCCGCCTTAGGCCCACGGGCCCCTCGATGGGCCACGAAGCGGCTCTCGACCCAGCGCGCGACGGCGACGACGACGACCCAACGAAACGGGCCACTGCTAAACAAGACATGAGTTGCATCACATACGTAGGGGCCGACACCACTAGAGCAAAGCTTGAGGAGAGGTTGCAGCCCCCCTCGAGCAACGGATGGTGAGAAGGAGGAGGAGGACGAGGAGGGTAACGCACAAGGGGGATCGACCGAATTCACCACTCCAGAACGATAAACCCTCGACCCCCGATGTCGAAACGAACGCGTCGTAGAAACACCATTTGGCGTTGTCGGTCGTCGCCCTCCTCGTCGAGCCGTCGTCAACGTCGACGTCGGCGCCGACGCCGCCACCTCTCGTCCTCGTCGTCCTTGGTCGCCCACCCCTGCTCGTCGGCTGCCATTTTGTTACGGGCCCCGAGACTACGCTGTTACGGGCCCCAAGACTTCGCTAGGCTCGCACGTTTTCCGACACACTTCGCTTCTGCCACCCTCAGATGCCTGTCGCATTCACGCGGTGCTTCGGCTGGCTCCCAGGCGCCCCACAGGGTTCCACGGACCACAGACGACCCCCAGGTCCCA